CAAAGGCTGTCTTCTCTCCCCTGCGCCGATATCTTCAGTGTGGGCATCTGGCTGTGACAGCTTGTGGTTTCACAGCTTAGTGCCCACTGCGCATGCGCAAGTTGTGTTGTGCTTTGTGAATGGTCCCGTAGTCTTCTGTGACCTTTCACGTGTCCCAGTAGACTACATAGAGGGAGGGGGGAGGACAACTTTTGCTTCCTATTGCCTTAGGCTATCGCACTGGAAGTGGGAGCGGGTACCTGTCAAAGTCAGGTACCAACAATTCATGTGTTTTTTTTTTTTTTTAACACTTTAGGCGTTTTTCACTATTGGTTTCTTTGGAGAACAGTAGATATCGTAGTCCCATTTGGACTAGTTGGAAGATTCACTATCACCCACATATCCTATAAGGATCTATTGGGCACATTAGTCCTGTTAAAGACATTTCTGTTTTTTTATCACTATAGTTATATATATTTTTGTGCACACTATCTAGTGTGAATTATTCTGATCACTTCTTATGTACACTTGTTTTGATCCTATATAGATCATAATAACATTGTAGGAAGCACTTGGGAGTTTTATTGTATTACATGTTATTTATTATATAATATCTTTACATTTGTATTTAATTTATGCGAGAAGTATTTGGGTATTAATTATATGTTACATATTATATAATATCTTTATATTTATATTTATCCTCCACATATATGCATTATTGCACATATTAGTTGTAGTAGCGCCCAGGGGCGGACTGACAACTCATGGGGCCCCTGAGCAATAGGGGATCATATGGCCCCTGTGTCCTTGCCCAAACTCAAAAAAGCCTATGAAAAAGGTACCAGGGGCATCTCATGGGGTCCCCTACTGACCCCGGGCCCTCGGGCAGTGCCCGAGTTTCCAAATGGTCAGTCCGCCCCTGGTAGCGCCACATCATTTTTTCTTTATAACACAGCATAGAGTGGCACGGGTGCATGTAGGTGATCCTGGCCAGGAGATACTGAAGTCTGTGCGCACGCAAACTGAAAGCTGGAAGATGCGGGAGATCTGGTGTGTAGTTAGGCAGGCAGGGGCTGGCAACAACTGGGTAGCAGAGGCACAGAATCGAGAAACACAAGCAAAGTCAGGGCTGGGCCAAGGTCTGTGTGAAGCAAGCAGAGAAGGTAACAGAATAGCAGGTAGGAGATACAGCCGGGTCAGAAGCCGGAGTCAGTAATGGAGTATCAGGAGTAAGCAGAGTCAAACAAAGCCAGGTCAAAAAATAGAAGAGAGCATGGGATCAGGTCAAGACGACCACTTAACAATCTTCTGCACTCCTGTACAGATTCAAATAGACCACTGGGTGCTAAAATGTTTATGCCACTTGTGTGCTCATCCATGCTAACGCATAGTGTACACTCATTGAGGTACATATATTTCTTCCTCTGGGTGCATACACATCTTCATGCAGGGCTGCAAGCACACTTCTCCAGAAACACTTTCTCTTAGCAGCATAAACACACAGCTACTTTACATGATGGTAACACTACTAGGAGAGGTGAGGTATGGCTAATTCAGCATGGACAGACTTTACATAGCATACACAAGCTAAGGAAAAATAATGTTGACTATTGCAATAAAGTCTACCAACGCTAAATTACCAATAGCAATGGCTCACTTGTTCACTCACTGAGCAATCAAGTGCAGGGGGTGCCAAAGAGAAAGTTTCTATTACTTAGTCTATTCACACTACTATTTTTTTGCTAGTCAGAGGTAGTGCTAGAGCTTGCAGAAAAAAAGGTAAGGCTTGAGTTCATGTTTAACAGAATGGGTAATCAGCAGGATGATCAGCAGCGAGTTATCATTACTTGCAGGTTACTAAACTGATGCAAAGTTAGAAGAATCTATGCAAAACAGAATCAGAATAGCAAAAAAAAAAATGCATACACTGCAGAATAACTCCTCACAATAATGTCTCTATGACTCAATCAGGGGAACATGTGGCTGCATAGTATAGTTCATAAGATTCTATAACAACAGAGAGTCAAGCTGAGAATCATTACTACAGTAAAACAGTACAGAACACACCTACTTGCAACTATCTCCATGGAAAGTGTCCTTCATCATCCAAGGTAGCTCTGATGACACAGGTGAGCAGTTGGAGGAATCCAAGGTCCAAAGACAAAGCAGCACCCCACTGGAACTGGTGGACTATGGTAGCATTTGGGAAGGTTCTGCCCATATTAGCTGGGTTTTCTGGATAAGCTGCATGCAATTAGACTCAAACATGGCTGCCTGAACGCTGGTTCTGACAGAGAAGCGCCTCTCACCTTGCTTCAGATCATGTGCCGATATACCTCTGCTCATTGGATGTGGCCTCTCTGAGCTTCCTAGGAAGGTAAGCAATGAAAGTTATCTTCCTGGACATATCCAGGAATCAAGGGAGTTGTAGTAAAAGGAGTTAAAGGTCCTGACATCTGACCAGTGTTAGGATCAGCTAATTTAGTCACATGCTTCTCACTGTATAACACAGCTTCAGTAAGGCCTTTTTTTGATTGATCCATTTACTGATGTAGTGTTACCCCCACAGAAGCCTAGTATTGGGTCCTCTGTTCTTACATTTGACTTGGATAAAGACCCTGGCCCCCCTTTGACACCTCAGGTTGCATCAATCTACAGGGTGTCCCTAAAGTCTGAACACATAGAAAATATCACTATATGTGTATATACAGTATATGTGTATATAAGCTCACCAGACTTTGACCCCACCTTGACTTCTTTTTTTGGGGTATTATAAAAGAGAAGGTGTACTGAATCAAAATCACAAACATGAATCACCTGAAGGAGCACATCATGAACAAATGTGCTCAAATTGAAGGAAATATGGAGTTACTGCATCAGGTTCATGTGAATCTTGCAAAGTGCATGGAATTTTGCATGAGAAATGGTGGAAATCATTTTTAAGATGTTATTGATTAATATTCCAATTAAATTAAATTGTTGTTGTAGAAATTCATTTAAATTTATTGAAAATATGCATTTTGCCTCTGTGTCTAGACTTTAGGGAAACCCTGTAGATACTGTGAGTTAGCAACTCACAGTATCTACAGGTCAATCTTAAATTAAACGCAAGACTGTAGTAAATAACAGTGTATATTGTCTCTTGAGAAGCTGATAAGACAAAATGTAACAATACAGAGCACAACAATGCAAGATATGACTACACAAACAGTACACCGATGTTGTACATAGGCTTTTTAACACAACCATCATAAACTGTAGCTTTTCCCACCTTATGTGCAGCAAGCGGCCACCAAAGAATTGAAACAACAAGCTTAGAAACTGGGTTGCCTGTGAGTATTTGGAGTGAGGGAGCTAGGCCCAGGACTGTAGTAGATATCAAAATATTCTGGACTAGAAGGGCTGTACAAGCAAGTAAACTATATACAGTCTTTTTGTAGTGTCAATCTTCTGCCGGCTCATGGGGCCCTTGAAGACGTTGGCCTGCTTATCAAACAAATACGTGAGTTAGTAGTGAGTAGTGGGTTCCTTATAGAACAAGACTGGGAGTGAGCCAGGCAAACAAGTTATGACTTGATGATTGAGCTTGTTAGGAGTTTAGATTAGGGCTGGAAGATGTAGATAAAACTCAAACTTCTCAAAGAGCAGTTAAGTGGTAATATCAGATCATGGTCTGAGGCCCACTCACCAATTTTTCCAATCTATATCAGCAGATTGTATTGATGGAGTGGCCCCTCTGTAATGGAGATGTCCTTTGACCTCTTGCAGCAATGTGGTAGATGGCAGACCAGATTGGCACCAGGATGCTGACTTCTCTGTAGCAGGCATGTAGAGCAGTATGCTCGTGTTACAAAAGGATGGGTCTCATAGCAGAAACTGAAAACAGCAGGAGAATACAGGCACTCTGGCAAGCTGTAGTGTGAGTTAGAAGCTTTCCATGGTGTAAGTCTGCCAGTGTCTTGGCAGTGAAGTCACACAGGCCTTCTCCTTGACTCTCCCTCTAGTGTCTCCTGTCTGGCTGATGGTGATCCCCCGGAAAGCTGTTCTTTCCTTGGCTTTTCAATTTATTCCCCCCCTTTTAGACTCCTCCTGCCTCCAGGTCTAGTGGAGCTTGTAGTTTCTCCTCTCTGCACTGCAGAGGCACTGGTTGTAGCCCAAACTACATCTCCAAGCATACAATGTTCTCTACTTATGAATCAAGAGCATAGCGTATCCACCAGCTTCATCTTGAGCCAGAAATAGGGAATATCCCTCTGGCAATTCTGACAGTAATAAAACCTAACCTGTCCTGCAAACTCAGCAACAATATGTCTAGTTACACTGATCTCTTCCTGACAGGGAAAAGTTAAAATGTCAGAGCTCTTTGGACAATGTATATTATTTGCTGTTCAGTTTGAGTATTAAATCTAAACTGATAGAGCATGAAAAAGAGGAACTCACTATATCCTTCTGTCTGGGCACTTCTATTGAGTACAGCAAACACTGTAATGACCAACTTAGTCTGGTTGTTCAGTACATATGCAGGCTGTTCTCCTTGATTTTTAGTACTGTGCAGTGGTTATGTTTTGCTGTCCCCTAACCACTTGCCTTCAAGAGGATTTACCCCCCTTCCAGACCAGGCCATTTTTTGTGATATGGCGCTCTGTTACTTTAACTGACAATTGTGCGGTCATGCAACACTGCACCCAAATGAAATTTACGTCCTTTTTTTCCCCATAAACAGAGATTTCTTTTGGTGGTATTTGATTGCCTGTGTGTTTTTTATTTTTTGCGCTATAAACAAAAAAAGACCAACAATTTTGAGAAAAAAACAATATTTTTGACTTTTTTCTATTAAACGTCCAGCAAAATTTAAAAAAATCAAATTTCATCATAAATGTATTCTGCTACATGTCTTTGCTAAAAAAAATTTCCAATACGTGTAAATTTTTTGGTTATAGCGTTTACAAATGGCGGTATAGATACTGGAATTTCTTCTTTTTTTTTTTTTTTTACTAGTAATGGCGGTGATCAGCGACTTATAGAGGGATTGCGGCGGGCATTCTGAATCTGGGAGGAACTGACTTGATGTCACTGACATCCCCAATGACACCAATACAGTGATCAGTGCTAATAAAAAAACACTGACACTGTACTAATAGCACTGAGCAGGAAGGGGTTAACATCTGGGGCAATCAAAGGGTTAACTGTGTGCTGTTTCACTATGTTGGCTGTGTGTGCTTTACTATAAGCACACTTCTTTGTATGGCTCTGCTATGCAGGACCTGACAGGGGAGAGATCTGTGTTGTTTATACACAGTTCTCTCCCCCGTCAGAGATACTCGGCGATCACTGGGTGTCGGCGAGTAATCACCGGCTGTGATTGACAGCCGAGGCCGTGAATTGCGTCCCCTTCCCCGGAACTGCAAAATCACATATATATACGTGATTTTACGCATCCGTGTCACCCAGCAGCAATATTTTCTATTAGAGGGCGGCGTGGAACCAGTTAAAGTAGATTAGTACTCAAAACGTTAACATTTGCTATGTTTTAGGGAAGATATGCATAATATTTACTATTCCTAAGTAGAATTATAAAAAAATCTACCTTTGGTCTGAAATTCCTCCCGAGAAATAGCAGTGGACTTCCTGTGCCTAGATATTCCTGCTGTGTAGTCTAGCTGTATATCTGCAGTGTGAGATCACCTATGGCCCTGCTGCAAGATGTGCTGATGTCACTACAGTGTTGCTCCCTATTTCATTGCTGGAGAGAAAGCTGTACCTGAGAGCCTGCAGTGAATATATGTCCTGCTTCTGCTTTATTCATTATGTGGACCTCCACCTCTCTTCCTGCTTCTTTATTATTGTATTTATCATAGGTCATCAGAGGGAGCTCTGAAATTAGGAAGCAAAGCCAGCTACTCTAGCAAGATGGCCACTTCCACATAGAGTCACAGTGTGGAACAAGGCATGGTTATTCAGTAATGCAGAAACAATCTGCTGCAGGAAGACTGCAAGCAAAACTGGTGACTAGTCCTTTTAGGGCTCTTTCACACTGGTGGTAATGCATACCACCCTCTGAAATGTGATCTGCAGTGGCTTGCTTTCAGCAGGAAATATAGCAGTGGTTGGCAGATGTTCAGGAAGAGCTACTGCCACCTACTTATGCCTTTTTGTTACTTTTTTTTTTTTTACATTGCTGGACCACACCACAACAGTGAGCCAAGTGTATAATGAGTTTGACAGTCAGTGCTTGCAACCTGAGTTAAAAATACCCTGGCCGCAGCATGTGTACAGGCTGTAATGTCAGAATTGCCTTTTTTTGTTCCCAGCTTCTACAGTGCATGTCCTCTTTAACCTCTCTACGAGCCTACTCAGACACAATGTGAACAAAAAACAACAAGGTCATCTATCCTATCATGATTTTTATCTCAGCAGCTCTTCAGTAGAGGTGCTGATTGCACTGCCTGACATACAGATTGCCACCAGGGGTGGCAAGTACAAATCTGTATATCAAACAGTCCTGTAAAAATATAAAAGAGCAAGTATGCAAAAATATAAAAGTCAACATTTTCTGGCAGGCAACTTTTAGAATAATACCTTCAAATACTGAAAATACAGTGCTGTTTCCCTTTAAACATTCTTACATACAATGAGCAACAAAGGGAAGCCATTCGACTAAGTACACACGCAAATTCCTGCATGTAAGCCAATTAAGGATCCCAGCTGGGAGTCTTTCACTCACTAATAACAGAGAAAAGCCCCCATGCTGCATAAAACTTCCCCACAAGGGCTGATTTCAGTGTGGGAACTTTCACATATGTGCTTTACTTTTTTATAAGTTTTTCTTTTATCTGATCATTTATGTTTTGAATTCACTTTAACTATACTGACAAGTCTCACAATGTGTGTACCTCATTAATACATTTACTTTATTTAAAAAGACAGTGATACTGAAACCACTGGAGCTTGTTTCATCTAAGACAGAAAAACTCGGTAGAATTTTGGTTAATTAAAATGGATCAAGATGTCCTTCCTGGCCTACTTCGGGAGGTTTTTGTCAGGGCTTTCCTCTTGAAGCTGCTGGTACAAGATTCAGATCCTTTATCCGAGAATATGCTGGGTTTGTAATTTTTAATTTTCTTTTGCCCAATGCACACATCTACATCTGTGTATGCTGGATGAACTTTCTTTTGGCAAATAACCATTGATGACAAATGTGCTGGTAACCTGGCTGTTACAACAAAATGTATCTTTGTGTTCACCTGCCTGCAGTAGGGTTTCCACCTCATCCCTTTAAACCCGAACACATATTAATTACACAGGTTCTGAGGCTAATTCAGGTAAGGCACTAAGTGAGTTTAATTACTCTTAGATTGTAAGCTCCAAGGAGCAGGGCCCTCCTATCCCTCTTGTATTGAACTATATTGTTGCTGTATTGTCTCCCGTTATATTGTAAAGTGCTGAGCAAACTGTTGGCGCTATATAAATCCTGTATAATAATAATATTAATAATTACCAACTTAATCTGCCACAGAACCTGTGTAATTAATATGTGTTTGGTTTTAAAGAGATGAGGTTGCAAACCTAGCCTGCAGCTGGAATCAGCAAAAATCGCACTGCAGCACAATGCATGGCAACTCAATAACATGCTTTATGGTGCACTACTAAAAATAGTGCATGTTCAATTGTTCAACAGCACACTTTAATCCATTGGCTCATGTCAAACCACAATTTACGTCAGTTGGAAGCACGCTATTGCAAATGGATAGTGTGGACAGATTGTAACAATCAACTTTACTTATTTTCTCCTTTTTGGTCTTTAACCGCATAGTAGAAATATTGCTACAGGGTGGCAGGGCTGCGCAAAATCACATATATATATATATGTGATTTGCATTTCCGGGTAGGGAGCATGATTGCGCGCCACCCTCCCCATGCCACCGTTGGCGGCTAGGGATGTCAATCACCGGGTCTGGACGGAGATTCCCTGCTGGCACCTGGCAATCGCTGTGTAAACCTAACAGGGGAGAGACCAGTATGTAAACAACACAGCTCTCTCCTGCCAGAAAGGACATGCTGCTTTGTATTTCTCTGCACAGCAGAGAAATACAAAGCAGCATGTCTCCCTAGTAAAACACACATAGCACATTATGTTAAACAGCACATAATTAAAGCTGGCCATACACAGGTCAAATTCTGAAAGAATTTTCTTTCAAAAATCCTTTCTAAGAATTTTTGTTCAAATTTAGCACCACTAGTGGGCCACAGCAATGGCCGATTTTTTATCGAATTTGAATGATCGGCATGTTGGAAATATTTTGAAAAACTAACGAATTTCTAATCAATGATGGGAGAATGGTGGTAGAATAAAAGTCTAAGTTTAACTGTTCTTAAAAATGTCTCCACCCTATCTCAAATGTGCTGGTAACCTGGCTGTTACAACAAAATGTATTTTTGTGTTCACCTGCCTGCAGTAGGGTTTCCACCTCATCCCTTTAAACCCAAAAACATATTAATTACACAGGTTTTGAGGCTAATTTAATTCAGGTAAGGCACTAAATGAGTTTAATTACTCTTAGATTGTAAGCTCCAAGGAGCAGGGCCCTCCTAACCCTCTTGTATTGAACTGTATTGTTGCTGTATTATCTCCCTTTATATTGTAAAGCGCTGAGCAAACTGTTGGTGCTTTACATATCCTGTATAATAATAATCTATCCTGCCTAATCTGTATAAAAAATGTGTGTGTACCTGTACCTACCTATTTTTAAACCACACCAGTCCGGTCAGTTGATACTGCAGCACCGACTCAGGGAGAGCTTGACAGATGTAAGAATTCTGCGAGCCTTGACATCACCCATAGGCTCCCATGCCCAGCTGTTGTCAGTGCTCCTTCCTCTCTCCTGCACCAACTGCATCCTGAAACAGGGGAGCCAAAGCTGTGGGATTACATAACCAGACCAGAGCAGATTAAAAATAGGTACGCATACACATCTTTACAATACAGGTTAGGCAGGATAAGTAGGTGGGAGGTGGGGGAAGGAGACATTTTTGAACCTAGGCTTTTCTTCCACTTTAAGGACTGGTAAACTGCAATATATTCTATTATTATATTATATATTATTTTTTGTTTTTGGGTTTAGATACACTTTAACATGCATTGGGTGAGTTCAGTGGCTCCTGCTTCAACCAAGTACCAGTAGAGCCTTGCTACCTTTGAATAATAATAATATGAAGGTCAGTTTTCTCCACAGCTTTTTTAAGAGGCTTTGAGTTAAACTCTGTAGCAGTTTTTTTTTTATTTTTAAAACCTTGGCAAGATCTCTACACCATAGGAGGCTCCTTGCTGTAAATGTTTAATTATTTACACAACAGTACATCAGAAGCAGTTTGAACATACAAAGGTAGGTGATAACACCCTAAAGTACAAAGTTGGTAGCAATAGAGTCAGTAACTACAACACACATAGATTACTCGGATTAAGGGATTACTTGGCCCAACAGGTTCCATTTATAAATAAAATACCGGTTTTTGGTAGACTGGATCATTAATATACCTGTAACACAGTTCCACTGACTATCAATGTTGCCTAAAAATACTTTTTTCAACACCACCACTACTCTGGCAATAGGTGTTTTCTCCATGTCACAAGCTTTGGCTACATTCTGGAGATGGTCATTGGGAAAACAGTGAAGTAATACAGAGGTGAAAAACATGTGCAGCCATACACCACAAGTGCAGAAGGGCTTGCATATCTTTATTAATCCAGCAGCACCAAGATTAAGAGGACCAAGGCCCAGTAGGGGCACCAGCCAGAGGTTGTGGGTGCAGTTTCTCTACGTTGCTGAATTAATAAAGTTATTCAAATTCATTGGGACCAGTAGAGTAAAGAAGTAGACCTAACAGTGTTGAGGATTTATGATTGATTAATACGGCAAAAACTGGATTCCTATACATATTACAGCAAGGGGCCTTAAGGCATGGTGAGAACCTGAACTCCTGCCACCCCGGGGAGAACATATTACTGTAAAATTACTCTAATACTAAAATACTCCTAAACTACCTAATGATTAGAATAGCCCTGTATGTTTGAGTTTGTCAGCAGCTCTTCTCTGTGACCATTTTATATGGTATGAATGGTACTTAATAGTAGGTATTTTATTCTATGTCACTTAGCCTCAGCTTGTAAATTATCAGCAATATTCAGAATGCATGGCAATGCGGATCATTGATCACTTAGTTTTGGCAAATGATTCTAGTGTGATTCAAGTTTAAATAATATAACTCCAGAGTGTGATACGTTTCCCACATGGGCAACACGCTCCCTACAAGCTACACAAGCACATTGCTCACTGTCACACACATTAATGATTTTCCTTTGTACACGCACTGGATCTCCAATTAGATAACTCCGGCCCAATGTAGAAACCTTCTCAAAGATTCACACTCACTTTGTATTATGAAGGACTAAATACCATGTTTCAGCTAGGCTACAAATGTCTATTGATACTCGATACCTGCTAAATCAGTAATTAACAAATTCTGCCCTGATTAAGCCAACCAGTTTGACTATTGTTTGTTAAGGAGATATCACACAAATGCATGCTTAAAGCTTAAGTGAATGATGGATAACATATTCAGTACATTGCTGCAATGAAAGCACATTTCCCACTTTAAAGACCCTGCAAGTATGGAAAAATATACCTTGACCAGGGGCGGACTGACCATTCGAGCACTCGGGCACTGCCCGAGGGCCCGGGGTCAATAGGGGGGCCCCATGAGATGCCCCTGTTACCTTTTTTATAGGCTTTTTTTGGTGTGCTTTCAGTGTGGGCAAGGACACAGGGGCCCCATGATCCCCTATTGCCCGGGGGCCCCATGAGTTGTCAGTCCGCCCCTGACCTTGACCCGTCAGATTTGCACTCAGATCCCATTGTCTTTTGTGAAACTACTCACTCACACCCAGTGTTTTCATCCTCAAAGCATTGGTATTAAATGACTTGTAGTCCAGGGATAAGAAGCAGCAGGGTGGTTGTATTCAGAAGATAAGCCCTTCCTCTGAGCATCCCACAATATTCCAGATTGCAATTTTGACACAAAACCACGGTCTATTTTCGTACATAGTAAAACTGGACAACACATGAGAATGCCAAATTAAGTGTAACAATTGGGAACCTTTACTACATAAAAAGGCAATTGGCAACTCACTTATGAGAAATTTCTGTAAGCGCTTCTCATTAAAATCCTCTGATCTCCAATGAAGTAGTGCCTCGGAGTCTGTAATTCCAATACCAGGGTGCTCGGTCACCACAATCTGCCAAGTATGGAAGAGAGACCAGGAAGCAGCTGACACAGGAAATGAGACCACTGTGGAGTGCAGGGCTGGACCAGAGACATCATATGCCAATCAGCCATTAGGGGCATGGCTACGTGTTTCAAAGCCACCCTGCTCCTTTGTCAAGTCTGTTTGATTGGATATGAGAACGCTTTATTTTTAAATAGAGGCTGTCTTTTCTAAATAGGGCCAGTTTATCGATGTGATACTGGCCAGTTTTCCAGTACATAGTTACATAGTTAGTCTGGCTGAAAAAAGACAAAAGTCCATCCAGCTCAACCATTACAAAAAAAAAGTTATAATTCTATACCCACAGTTGATCCAGAGGAAGGCAAAAAAAAACCCAGCAAAGCATGATCCAATTTGCTCCTGCAATAGAATAGGCTCATGTCAAGCGCTTCACAGTCTGGTTTTCTTTCTTTCTTTTCTGCCTGTAAATCCAAGGAGGTTTATGGTGAATGTCTATATCTGAACTGAGTGCTACACATATACATACAATCAATTATAGGATAAAAAACACTTCATGCGAGACTTATTATATCTAGTACAAGTGATGCTATCCTAAATATTGAATTATACCAAATCAGAGAATTGGTTTTGGCAGGATTTGAAATTTAATACATGCTGGAGTTAATTTACTAAAGGCAAATAAACTGTGCAATTTGCAAGTGCAGTTGCACTCATTTTCCTCAAAGCTTAGCCAGCTACCGAACGCCCGCAGGCGGGTGGGCGGAAGCTACTGGGTAAGTGATGTACAGAACCTATATATGCACACTGACATGCTCCCTGGGGCATGCAGTGCACAGTTCTCATGACAACTGTGGCTACAGGATACAACAGATTGACATTTCCAATACCCGACCGATTTGATTGGCTAGAAGATCATGTCAACAAGGCTGTTATGAATTAATTCATTCATAAGAGCTGTGATCCCTATAGTGATGCTGTGATTGGCCCACAGCATGGTACCTGAGCCAATCATAGCACCTTGTACCATATGATTAGCTGTAGCCAAATATAGATCACTAGTAATTACAACTGTCACGAATGTAATGTAACCCAGGCAGTTCAAGTGGCAGTGATCATCACTGTCACAGCAATTCAAAGTGTCAAGGAAAAAAGAAATCACTGATCATCCCCCCCTAGTAGTACAGTAGTACAGTGTCAACATGGTGATACTGAATTACTCTGATGAAAGTATATAAAAAAAATGTTTAACCACTTCCCACCCGGCCTATTGTAATATGACAGCTGGATGGGACTTTCCTGGTTCCGGGGGGACATCATATGACGTCCTACCTGAATGTGCTTAGTGCGCAGCTATGTGGCATCGCCGCAGGCGCAATCTGTCACTCACCGACACACAGCCCATGACAGATCCCTGTACAGGCCCACTGCCGGTATCATGTGATTGCTGTGACCAATCACAGCAGATCACATGACAATTGTAAACAATGAATGGCTTTGATTCATGCCATTCATTGTGTACAATTGTGTTGCTAGTTGTGATTGGTCACAGTGATCACATGGTACAAACAGGGACAATTACAGCCCATTTGTACCATGTGATTAACTGTGGCCAATCACTGCTAATCACAATGATACATACCGAATGAATCAATTTCATTCAGTAAAAATGCTTGTTTATAGCAATGAAATAATATAAAAAAATAATAAAAGAAAAAAATTTAAATACATTTCTTTTTTTTGTATTG